TAAAAGGTTCCTTCTTGAATTTTTGAACATTTATAAATGTAAAATAGACTACTGGGAAACTATTAATCCAGATTTGCTAATTACGAGACTTGCAAAGAATCAAAATCCTTTTCAAAGTATTCAAGTACAAGAACTGGAGTGTAAAGCCCAGAAAACAAACATCCATTATCTTTTACCCGCTTCTTCCATTTTTGGGTCATGGTGGTCGCCAGTGCCCATGTCCAGCAGAAAACAAACAATTATGACAATTTTTAAAAGATGAAAATAATTAATTATTATTTAAAATATGAGGCGATTTAATAGTTTTGCACAGTACTGCATATAAAGATGTTACACATTTTACCGACTCTTAATGATGAAGAATAAAAACAAGGATTCTTCAAAACTGTTTAAAAAGCAGGTATTAACTGCAGTGAATCATCAGTAAAAACATGTTTGGCATCAGTGGAGACAATTTTTTTAATTATTACCCAAACACGCTGTGGTTTTCGTTGCAGGAAGCTGAGTTTGGTTGCCAGGCAACAAGTTATAGATGACGAGCTCATTTTCTAACTTGAACATTAAAGAGAAGCGTTGATCCGACGATACAAAACAACATTAAGTTTATCGGTTCTCTAAGTTTTTTTTTAACCACTTTTTGTAGCCAAAGTTGTCTTTTTTTTTTATCTCGGTAGAACTTCAGCTAAAAGACTGGTGCTGACGCTCGGCTGTTTTCTGAAAAGAGGTTGGTTTGTTTGGTGTGACAGGGTTTGTCTCTGGCACGGTGTGGTCTGTGGTCTGAGTCGACATTTTCATGAACAAGCATCCAGGTGGTGTGAGGTGATTGGCTAATAAATCCTGTCAACTTCGTTTAAAAAGATTATGACATCGCTCATCACCAAAAGGCGAAAGCTGTGTTTGTGAGATATTTTGCTAACAAACAGGTGCACGAACATTTAACAATGCCTTTACAACTGATTAACTTTTGGAGCTAATCTAATTTTAAAAATGGCTGCCACATCCACCTGATAACACAATCCATGTTACAAGTATTATGCTAAATTTAAGTGTGTTTGTAGCTAAGAGTCATTCAGAACTCTAAATGTTATACATTGTGCATTATATTTGCTTAAAACTTTAGAATCAACTGTTGGAGTCAACTGTGTTAGTCTGTTAGCAAAATATTGCTTGTACAATTGAGCAGATTTTAATGAATCGTATAACATGTAATCACTGAACGCACAGCTGCAACTAATTTCCAAATTCACGATGGCCACCACAGTTAATCCACCTTAGCTAGCACAAAAATGGCTACAGCTCGGTCAGTTTTATAGATGCTGAGCTCAAAATTTTACTGGTAATGTTTCCAAATGCTAAAAATGGAGAAATGCAAAACTCACAATAAGAGCCCCTTTATGAAAAATGTATTAATATTTGATGAATGGGTTATTGTTGAGGTTATAAGCTCTTTATAAAGCATTAAAATAACTTACAAAACAGTTAAGTTATAAGTAATATATATAAAACACTTAGTTAAGCATTATTAGCCTTTATAGAACGTTTGCTGTTTGCATTGAGTTTAGTTAAAAACTAAGAAACTAGAAAGAAATTTTATTTTATTTTTTACCTGAATGAATGAGGTTAATGAACAGAGTTTTAAAAAAAAGATGATTAATGCTCAATAAATCAGTGTTTACAAATTTGTGAATAACTTAATGAAGCATTAATAAATCCTTTATATAAGGGTTCTTATTGGGAAGTGGCACAAACTCAAAGTAAACATTTTATTTCTGTCCCAGTTTTTATTTTTTACTTTCTGTCAGTTAGGTACATTATAATTAAGCTGTGTTAAAAAAGAAACATTTAGTACTTTTCTATCTGTAAAGAAGTAATATAGTCGATGTCATGTTTGTGCCTCTTCATGCCATGATCTGCTGCTCAGTCACTCTGCCACGCCCCCTCTGCACTCACAGCTTAATCAGCGCTCATGCCCTACACCTGTTCCCCTCATTATTTAAGATCCGCTCTCACTCTGATTCCTGACCAGATTATCATACCATTCTTGGTTTATGATATCCATCCATCTTTTTCCTGATCATTTTCACGCCTGATTCTCAAGCCTTGTTCTTTGGATTCAACCTCACGCCTCGTTATCTGGATTTACCGCTCTGCCTGCTCCTCGTCTGATTCTGCTCTGCCCATCTGACCCTGGTACGACTACGTTTTCTGCCTCATGGATTTTGGATTTACGGATTACCCCTTTGGATGTGTTCTTGGACTTCTGACTCCCCGTGCTTGACCCCTGCTTCGCCTTTTGGACCACGACCCTGCATTGCCCTATACTGTCCGCATCTTTAAAGGCCTCCCTCTGCAGCTGCCTTCCCACCAGTTGTGGTGACGTCATAACTTCAAGCTCTGTCAGGTGGCTCTTACCCCACCTGCCTGTGAAGACGTGTTCTCACAGCTGGATCCTGACACACCTGCAAAATCAACAAGTGTTTTTCTTGTTTTTACACTCTTGTTGTCTGGCTGAATTGTTGAATTCAAAAATCTGGTTCTTGACAATATAGACCAAACCAGTGAGGTAGTTTTGCTTCTGTCTGACTTATCTGTAAAGCCAAGGATCTTTAAAGTTCCTCATTACAAACTATGAAAATTTCAAAAAGTTATCCTAAGGTATATCAAATAGTGCAGTTTGACACAGTAGAGTGGTGGCGTTTACTACAGTAGATTTCCAAATATTTAGATTTTTGCTTTTTTCATTCTAAAATATGGGTCCACATGGTAGAGTAAAAACTGAAATTACTGTAATACCCATGTATGGAGACTAGGGGAACAAACATGAGCAGCTTTAAGGGTTGCAAGCTCAATCAACCAGGTAGGTGACAACAACAAAAATAAATTGTCGTCTGGACCAGTTTCTTTAAATGAGAAACATTTCATCCCCCATCCAGAGGACTTCCTCAGTTCATACATAGATAGATATATCCAATATATCTACTGCATATCCCATCTCCTTTCACTTTTTATGAATTATGGAATTCTGGTGTTTTGCACTAAAAGTCTACTTTTGAGATTCCAACAGGAGGTTGGTTTGAAACACAGCAGTGAAGGTTACCTATGGGACAGATCCAGTTGGCAGGCCATAGACTGAGGAAGTCCTCTGGATGGGGGATGAAACGTTTCTCATTAAAAAAAGGCCCTGATGACACTATTTAACCTTTTTTATCTTCTACCTGGATGATTACAACCCTTTTTTCTGATCTACTTTGGCCTTGGTTGTCCTCAGGCTGTTTCTGTGAGTAGCAAGTTGGTCATCTAGCCTAAAACATTTTGATTGTTGTACATTTGCTGGGTAGCAATGTGTCTGAGACCCAGTCTACATCATCCTCAGCTTCTTCATTTTCTCTTCACTTTCAACACTCACAGCTTCTCTGGAGGAGATAAAGGCGTGGATGCAGCAAAATTTCCTTCACCTCCACAGTTCAAAAACGTAAGCAACTCAAATTGGTACCAAATTCAACAACAAAAAATCCTCAGTATCACTTTCTCTGGCCAGAACATTTCTCTTTCCAGTACAGTCACCAATCTTGGTGTCATTTTCGATCCTCAGCTCACCTTTGAAAGCCATATAAAGCATAGCTGTAAAACTTCTTGTTTTCATCTTGGAAATATTGCAAAACTTCGGTCTACACTCTCCTTCACCTATGCAGAAGAGCTCGTCCATGCCTTTGTCTCCTCCAGACTGGACTACTGCAATGCACTTCTCATGGGGATTCCTGGAGAGAACATACAAAAATGTATGTCCAGAACAGCGCTGCCAGGGTCCTGATAGGTGCGTATGCATGAGCACATCACCCCTGTACTCCATTCACCTCACCGGTTTCCTGTTTCTGCCCGGATCACGTACAAAATGTATCTGCTCATTTTCCAATGCTTGTATGGTAATGTGCCATCTTATTTAAAAGAACTTCTCACCCATCATTGTACTTCACGCACTCACTTCTCTTCCAACACTCATTATCTTTTCACTCCCAGGTCTCGGTCCTGCACAAAAGGAGACCGGGCTTTCTCCTGCGCTGCCTCTCGGCTGTGGAACGCCCTGCCCTCATATCTGCGGGCCCCACAGACCGTGACATGTTTTAAAAAAGGTCTTAAAACTTTTCGTTTTAACCAGTTTAATTGCTTGAATTGTACTTTTGTTTTTTATTGCACCCATAGTTCTTATTTATTATCTGTATTTTGTTCATTTTTAGGTTTTGATGTGAATTTTCCGTGGCATTATCTTCCTGGTTGTTCTTCCTCTCAGTTGCTCTTTGTGGTTGCTTTTGCTTTTGATATTATCTGATGTTCACTCGTTGTAGCACTTTGAGCTCTATTGTGAATGTAAAGTGCGTTATAAATAAAAGTTGTTGTTGTTGTTGTTGTTGTTCTAATTATTATTATGATGATTGATTGTTTTGGATGGGTGTGTTTTGCATGTGTTAAAATTCTACTTTTGCGATTCCAACAGTAGGTTGGCTTGAAACACAGCAGTGAAGGCTACCTTTGGGACAGATCAGGTTGGCAGGCCGTAGACTGAGGAAGTCCTCTGGATGAGGGACGAAACGTTTCTCACTTAAAGAAACTGATCCAGATGACACGATTTAACCTTTTTTGTTGTTGTACAGCATAATGCACCGACACGAGACAAACAAAATGACAGCATACTTAAAGAGACATTAATGAGGGAAAAATAACAAATACTTGGGGTGATTACAGATTAGGGACAGGTGAAGGTGGCAGGATGGCTGGAAAAATACTGAGAAGGCTGACAGAGGGAGAGATGACACGGGAAAATCCAGGACACTGACCGTGACATCAACCATGTTATGATGTTTGCAAACTATCCCACATACCACTGGATAGACTTAAAAGAAAAACTTTCAGAAAGTAATCCTTGGGTGTAGCTCTAGATCAGATGAAGTTCTGAGTCTAATTCAAGATGGCCGCAACAATTAATCAACCTTAACCGACAGAAATGGCTATAAATCAGTCACATTTACAGACACTGAGCTAAAATTAGACGTGGTCATAGCTGAGTCCTCAACATGTAGCCTACTCATAATATTACATGGAACCGTGCATTTCCTTATTTTTCAAGATTTGATAAAACCGGATATAACTCGTGTCATGTCATCCCTCAGCATGTGATGATGAGTTTACAACTCTGGCATCATGTGTGCTGGGTGATATGCATTCCTTCAAGGATGCTGAGCCTTTAACTTCTGTGAGTTGTCGTCGTCAACAAACGAAGCTCCAGTTTGTATTACTTCACTCACCTCGGTGATCAAACTTGTCCAGGAATAAAATGTAAAAGTTTTTAATAACAGGTGTTATAATCTTTTACCTGGGGAAAACAGCTTGTGACTCACTACGCAGGACCTAAAATTAAAACGGCTGCACACTGAATTACAGGTTATAATGTAATTTGTGATAGTAAGTCTAGATCTTAAAAAAAAAAAAAAAAAGTTGCTGCAACAAACCGGAACTTTCTAAACGTCTGTTCAAAGAATGACTTTTCACCTTCATTTGGAGTTTTTTCCGGTTGCTTTTTCCCTTCCTACTTCACTCTTCGTGTGTCAATCAAATAAAAAATAATATGAAAACAGGTATGTCACAGATTTTTATGCACACCAGTCTATATCACACTTGTGACTTTTATTTTGAAGGCTTTATGTTTACACTTGGCCTGTTTGTGTGACTTTAAAAGAATGAAGTGTGTGTGACATGGAGAACAACTTTACCAAATAAGACTCTGTGTGTGTGCGTGTGTGTGTTTGGATGTGTGTGGACCATTTTCAGTGAGAGGAGGAAGTGTTGTGACAGAAACTGCAGGCCTCTCCTGTAGTCCACTTCCTCCTCACACCTCATCACTGCCTCTTGTGAAACCCTCAGTGTTGTACAAGAAACAGGGTCTCTTCCTGCAGCTGCACTCGGCTCACTTCTAAAACCTTCTTGAACCAACCAAACACCATGTACTAACACCATGCTTATATCAAATTCATATTTTTACGTTTATTTTAGAATCAACGCACAATTTTACCAATATAGCTGCTCTTTGCTACATGGCTGTGTCTGTTTCCAGTTCCCTATCAGTAAAAAATTGAGTTTTCATCCAAAAATCAGCCTCAAGTCAAAGCACAAAGTAAAGCAATCACTATATTTTCCTGCTTGGAGCTGTTCTCACTCAAAAAGCTTGTTCTGAAAAAGAGGAAACTCACCCTGTTGCTGAGAAGAAGCTGAATTTCACTAAGAAACTGTATATTTAAACACTCCAGTGCTTCCCTTCTCATGGCCTTAAAGCATCTTCTTTAGCGTTTAACTGAGAGCCTTGTGACATCAAATCAATTTCATAACTTTCTGCTACCAGTTTAGAAATATTCAAGCTATCGAAAAGCTACTAACAAAACCCCAGCACCTCAACTTTAAACAGTTACTGCTTTGAGATGCCAAACCCGAGTTCATACAAGTCCAACGCTGCTCAGAGGATATGAAAGTATACTGCACCATTGTTCCAGCGAGCCTGTCCTCCTCTGGTTGTCCACTGTCCAGAGAGTGTGTGTTTGTGTGTGTGTGCTGCTTGACCTCCTCAGACTGCAGCCATCACACACAGGTGGGGGGACAGTCACAGCCAACACCAGCCAGCAAACTACAAGACATCCAGCAGAGCAGTCAAAACTACTTCCTCATACTCCCACTGACGGTGTGTGTGTGAAACAAGAACTGCTCTCTCTCTCACACACACACGGTGATGCACATGCTCACCACACAAAGCTGATCAGTTACTTCTGTATTTCTGTCATGCTTAGAGCCCGTCAGGCGTTTAGGTAATGACAGGTGGACAGTGTTTGCCAGCTGCAGGTATCCAAGTTTTGCACCACAATTAGCCGGTCCGATTGTTGATGGCAACAACGACCGCAGGGGGGTCATTATCTGCAGCGTGTTGCCAAATGATGGGTGTTTCAGTTCAGTGAGCTGCCGGCTCCACCCAGGCTGTGGTTGCTTCATGAGGTGTTTGTGTTGTCAGAGAGTTCTGCTGCTTCCAACGCCCCTCATGTGCTCAGGAAGAGTGTGTATGTAGTGGGTTGGGGTGGGGTGGGGGGGGGTCAGGTGTCAAACCGAACTTCTTTTGGCTGTTTTATGTCATTTTTGAGGTTAAATGTTTCAGATTCCTACATTCAAAAGACAAATCAGTGTCAGTCTGGTCTCCTACATAGCAGTGATTTGGCGCTGAATTTTCATCACTTTGTGTATACGAGCTCAAATTTGTCTATATATGGTAAGTTATGAAGGACCTGCTCGCCTCCATTCTGGACCTGCCTGAACCCAGCCGGTCAAAGCAGATGGCTGCTTGTCCTGAGC